TGGCACAGAGCTGGGCTCTACAGAATACACGGCAGGCCTGTCCCTAGAGCCACATGCAATCAATAACCCCCCAAAGAACATGACAGGAAACAATTTTAAAAATCACCTTGCCTTTGCCAGGGACTCACAGCCGAGCAGTTTCCCCATCGGGAGACTTTTTGGGGTCCAGGAAACTGGGGAAACTGGGATAAGCGGGTCTTCCTGAGCAACAAGGAAGTGGCTGAGTGCTCTTGGATGGGGCAGGGCTGCTCGGTCACACGGAGGCCACCCAAGGGTCCCCGCAAAAGCCTCCGATCCTTACTTCCACTGGGTCTGCACCAAGGGTTGTCTCTCTTCCTGTGCTATCTACCCCAGGCACATGTCCCCACCCCTTGTGCCCCTGTGACAGCTGCTCCTTGTCCTGTCAGCCTTCCTCAACCTCATGCCTTCCTCGCGTCCTCCTCAAGTCCTGTCTCCCTCCCTGCCTGTCTGGTAAAAGATGGAGACACCATCTCAGACATTCCACAGGATGAAGCTAGACCATCTCTAAGGCAAGATCCCCTTTAAAGATTTGTAAGCCAGAAGCTTTCTGTGCACCAGTCAGAGCTGAGGCCTGAAGGACTCTATCTTGACTTGAATGACCAGGGAATCCCCTTTCTGGACTATATGATCTTTCCGTGTGTGTGTGTGTGTGTGTGTGTGTGTGTGTGTGTGTGTGTGTGTTGGTGGGGACAAGGGTGATCCACAAGCCTATTTTCTAGATGAAGAACCTGTACTGTTGAGGGACTCCTGGAGCTTAGAGTCATAGGGATAGCAGAGGGATAGAGAGCGAGACCAAGACTGAAAGGCAGGAGAGAGAGAAGAGAATCCCAGACCAGCATCATTTGAATTCATGGATACCGCAGATCTAATATTGCAACATTCTGAGTCATGAGCTAAGTAAGGGCTATCATCTTTTTCTCTAACTTTTGTATTGCATAAGTCACTTCCAGAAGTATTGGAAGAGAGAGAGAAAAGGAAGAGAGAAGGCAGTGGGGACGAAGTAATAAGGACACATGTGTATGAAAGTGACACAGCCAAAGTATTACCTTGCCATGGAAGGATTGTCATCAAACTCTAACTTGCTGTGGACCCTGCATGCTACCCTACTGAACTGGCAAGGCAAGGTGTGCTCACTGGTGTAAGTGTGGCGTGTCTGTTATAGGGGTAACCAGCCACTCTCTGCTTGGAACTGAGGACTGCTCCACCAGAAGGAAATAGGGTTTGGTACTGTACACGTGGTCAGAAGCCCATGTTATAGACCATCATGAGGAAGCTACAAGCTACTGCTATCATTTTGCTGAATGGATTTATGTACACAAGTGCCTTCTAAGTATTTATATCAGTGCCCGGGGGAGAACCTTTCTGTTGCAATGAGAATAAGTGTTAAATCTTGGCCCTCAGTGAACCATTTCTGTCACCTACTTCCTCCAATGCTCAAGTGGGATAAAAGGAACATAAGTGGAGAAGGAAAGAGCAGAGTGATGTGGAATGCTGGCTTCTGGGCATGATGTGGCACCTATGACTATCGCACAAGACTGGGTTTGTCAATATTTTGCTAAGGATGGGGAAAGAGCTCACAAAGTCCCACTCTTCCCCTAGGATTGGTAGAATTTGTTGAGGGAGAAAGAGACATTTTCTTTGGTGGTGTAGCCACTGGCAGGTTGCTTATGCTCCTGGAAATAACTCTCATCGGCGCTTCTAGAGGCAACCATCATGAAACTCACTGGGGCACCAACAAAGGTGTGAAGGGAGGAAAGGGACTGTTGGTGTGGAAGAGGACAGGTGAGGGCTGTCACAATCAAAATCACAATCAGAATCCATCACAGACAGAAGAGCCATGCCTCTTGTAACGAAGCATCCGGCTATTGTTTCAACCATCTCTTCTCTTCTCATCCAAAGCATCTTCCTGCCCACAGCTCAGCTTTGTCCCCTCGACCACATGGCATCCCCTCTGCTCCCAACCCTCTTTTCTACAGCAACCAGCCTGGCTTCACATGCCAGAGACCTCTGAACATCAAATAATCTCAAGATATCCTTGCATTCTTGTCTGACATATCAACCCTAACACCCAGTCCAGGGTGCTGAAACTGTTGATGTCTCTGGGCAGAGGGAGCAAAGATCCACCATTTATCTGCCTAACATCTCTGTTGGCTCATTCCTGCCCAGGCCACGTCACAAAAGATGGGCCTGTGTCCCTGCAGTACTGTAGATGTTAGACAGCATGCAGTGCTCACACACACTCAAGCTCTTAGAGTTGGGATCCTGAATGCCCTCTGAGGGCCACGTGTTGAAGGCTTGATGCCCAGACTGTAGTACAACTGGGAAGAGATGGGACATTTAGAAGGTGGAGCCAAGTAGGAAGAAGTCAAGTCATTAGGGCTGTGACCTTGAAGGGGATACTGTGACCCCAGACCTTTCCTCACTCCCTTTCCTTCTTAGCTGCCAGAATATGGGCATGCCTCCTCCGCCATCCACTTCCGCCATGATAGACTGCTGCCGACACACATATCCGAAGCCCGGGGTCGAACAACCCTACCCTGAACCCTCTGCGTCAGAACAATTCTTTCCAGTTAGTGAGGTGATTCTCTCAGGCACTGTGCTACAGTGACAGGAAGCTACCACACAATCTGAAGTGACGATACCACTACCAACTTAACGTGTTCCTTCTGATTCTCTCAGAAGCCTTCCAATTGCCATGACAAAGCCCCAGCTTGTCTGATCTAAGCAAGTGGCTTATGACTTCATAAAAGCATCTGGAAACAGGGCTGAATATACACAGAAAAATGCAGACAAATAAGAGGTGATACTTGGATTTGGCGAAACTGGTGGGATATGGCTTGCTCCCCCAGGCTTTGGAGGTCCACAGGCCACCACTTTTAAATCCCGCTGTGATTTAGATGTCATATGCCCCAGGAAAACTCATGTTAAGATTTGGTTGGCTGCCAACACAGTGACATGTGGAGGTGGCGCCTTAAAGAGGGATTAATGTCTTCCTCGTGACACTAGATGGGTCCTCTTGGGAACAGACAGGTCTCAAGAGCAGTTTGCTCTGGCTAGCTTTTTTCTTCTCACATCTGCACATGCCCGCCTGCCCTTTGGTCTACCGTGGCAGGAACCAGCAGGAGGCTCTTACCAGATGTTGCTCCCGGGCTTAGGTTCCAGCCGACCCAGAGCTCTTCCCTTTATAAACTACCCAGTCTTGGGTATTGTCTTACGGCAGCCAGAAGCGTTTTAAGACAACCCCACTGAAGACTGTGATACTCAAGATGGGTCTCACGCAGCCCGAGACTGGTCTCACACAGCACGAGAAGGGTCTCAGACAGCACGAGATGGGTCTCAGACAGCACGAGATGGGTCTCACGCAGTCCTACCTGCCAGATTGCCCAGCCTTTGTTCATGCCGTACTTCTGTTGTCTGTTGGATCTAATCTCCACACAACCTCAATACCAACCCACGACAGTCCCATTTATTTTATAGACCAGGTTCTGCATGCATGGAGGGTCACATAGCAATAATTCATCCACTTCCCCAGCCACTACTTGCAAGAAACACAGTCCCCACCCCAGGTTGAAGACAGCTGGAAGGCTAATTTGAATTTTAGAGGTGTAACCTTACCTAATGACTCAGGATTGTCCAGTGTCCCTGGCAAACGATTCCCATACTTTCATAGGCCACCCTGGTGGCCGATACGATCTGTAAAGCTGGGCTATCCCAAAAGGACAAGGCAATCCTCCCCTGTGTCCAGGGCAGATGTGTAATATCACAAGAACTTGAAGGAACTCTGGCTGAACATGTGGAGCTATTAGATCCCAGAACTCGGGCCTGGGGGCCAGAGACTGGGCAGAGAGGATGTCTCAGGAAAGGAAGGTGACATCTCCAGGGACAGGTGCCAAAGGCTGCCCTTATCACATGCAAACGGGATCTCTCAGGATAAACAAGTCAGAGAGCGCCCAGGGATAAAAAGAGGCCAGAGCAGAGGACCTGATGAGATTTGGTTCTTACTCAAACCTGCAGCTGAGTAACCTAACAGGATGCTAAGCCCCACCCCAAAGGCTCTGACTCATAGATGTAAAGAGAGAGGCAAATAGGTTATTTGGGGTTACACTCCTAGAAGCACAGGGTTGCAGCGTACCCATAAAAAGGAAAGAATTCATACAAACTGCAAAGGTGGCCCTGAACATTGTATTGCCAACTAGGCACCAAGAGGCTGGACACCCAGCCTGGCAGGGATGGAGCCTCCTCACGGTTATTCAAAACACACCATTCAGTGTTATTCATTCAGTGGAGAGATGATCATAGGCACGCTACAGGATAAACCTGAAGGGACCCATCTACAGCTCAGAATCTCCTCTAGAGACCCCAGGAACCACCACCTGAAGCAGGAAACTTAGCTGTGCAGAAGTCTGGGCCGAGGCCATTTCTAGCTAAAGAAATGCTCTTTTGTTTGCGTGACCAGGCAATTGAATTGTGCAGAGATGCAGCCACCCAGGGAGGAGGCGAGCCCAAGAGGCTTCCGCAGGTTGGGTACAAATGGCCAAAAGACAGAAGTGGATCTTGGCTCCCAGATCTTTGCCTTTGGTGCTAGCCTAACCGCCTCCTTAAGCAGGCATCGGAATTGAAAATGAAAACTGTGTGGGTGAGGTATTTAAGATCGTACCCAGAAGCTGCCCCCTTTAAAGATCTGGCCTTCAGAACATTCCAGGCTGGGTCACTTATCAAATGGAGATTGACTTTTATCCGATTAACCCATGGAGAGGCATCCTTCTCCATCTCGCAGGAGCATTCTGGGGGAATAGCATTCTGCAGACTGCAGGGGAAAGTTGGGCCTTGGCTTCCCTCCCGCTTGGCCAGTGGAAAATTACAAAGAAGACAGAGCTGTCCTCCGTCTCATCTTGTTCATCAGCCCTTCCCCGGGCACAGGAAAACATATAGAGTAACCCCTCCCCCCAAATAAAACCAATGAAGGATCCTTCACTTACCTGGGGCGGATAGTAGTCTGGGAGGTGGTGGAGGTGGAGGCGGAGGGGGTAGAGGAGGTGGGGGCCGGCACTGGCAGATGTGTTGGCAGCTGTCGGTGACCTTAGAACAAGACTTCTGGGGCTCAGCATGCGTCACCTGCAGATACGAACATAGCCAGGAGACATAGGAGGCCAAGAGATAGCTAGAAGCTGAACCGAGCCTGCCCCAAGTCCCTTCCGGGCCACAGCTTGGGATTCTTCATTAAGACCAAAGTAGGCAGAATAGACAGGAGTCAAAGGGGGCTATACCCAGAGAGTGGCCGCCTTCTCCATCGTCTAAGTCCCATACCCGCTTCTTACTCCTTGAGACAGCACAGGTCAAACCCTCACCTTTCCAGTAATAGCTCGTTCAGTCTTTCTGTGTCTGTGAGGGACAGTGTCCCCCATATTGGAAAGGGAACCTACCTGGCTGGGCCTTGGTCTGTTTCACATATGATCAAGGGGCAGGATAACCTCCTGATGTTCTCTAGATAGCATCTGAGTAGTTTGTGGGGAACACATCGACCAAATCATCCGGTCCCTCCCAGCGGCCCCCAAGTGCTTCCTCACTATCCAGAGGACCTCATGGCCCACAAGTCACAGAACAAGCAGCCCCTGGCAAACCTCCATGCATCCGTCTTTCCCTGCCCCACCCTCCTGCCATCCCTGGCCACTGTATATACTGTCCTGGTGGCTGGAATGTCTCCCACCTGACCCACTTTGCTGTCACCTCCTTGGCCAGGCTGTACGAGGTTTCCTGGTATCAGGTCTAATGTCCGCTACTTAGTTCCAGCCTGTCTTCACTGTTGGACTGTAAACTATGTCAGTACAGGGCTATGCCTTGGCTTCTCTCTCACTGTTAAAACCAACACCCAAGGGAAGGGCCCAACGTTCCCAGAGAGCTGGCCATTGAATGGATAAACATCAAAGACTAGACCAGAACCTCTGCCTCGTAGGTACTGGGCCTGGGGTTTTCCCAGGATGCATCTCTGCTTCTTGATGTCAGCTACAGAAGTCTGTCATCACCAGTGGTTCCTCAGTCTAGCTGTGCCCGGAACCCAGCCGGCAGCTTCGGCACATTCCTGCCTTAGCCTTACCTATAACCAGTGAACTGAGACTTTTTCAGGGGAGCTGCGCCTGGGGGGGTTGTTTCAGTCTCCCAGTCAAACACAAAGAGAGCCATCCTAAGAACCATGGGTTAGACAGTTGCCGGTGTCCCTCCATATGCAGAAGATTGTAAATCCAGGAATCCAAAACAGACTTCAAGATAGGAAAAGACTTGGGAGCAGTCCCTTGCCTCAGTGGAAGGCACAGTTAATTATTCTGGCTTCACATGGGCAAAGAGAAACACAGAATACCAATGTCCCTGCAACTTCCACTCTGTCATTGCAGGTGACTCTCCTAGGGTCCCTCAGTTGTGTGAGAGAGGGCACAGGACTTGGTGCCACCTGTGTACTTGGAGGCACAGCAGCTGCAAACAGTGGATGTCAGGATGGCAGAGAGAGGCTGGACCAACTTACAGCCCCAGCTTACCACCTAAGAAGTCAATGGACTCCTACAGACTACCTCTTGGTATTTTCCAAGGCCACTGGCTATGTTTCTGACCCTGGAAGGCAGCCCTGTCTCCCGAGGGAAGGGTGTATCCTTAGTGTATGCACTCCCTTCGTTCCTGCACCAACATGATTCAATTGTCAGAGTTGGAGGTAAAAAGACCAGACTCTACTGTAGGTCTGAGGCTCTCCCACAATCAGGCCTGACCCCTGCCCTGCTCCAGACCATCATTGTCTGAGACTCGGAGCTCGAGCGTGCAAACTTCACACCACGCCCAGCCAAAGCAATTACTTTTCCAGTTTTCTGAGACACACTCAATGCAGGAGAGTTCAGGAAGAGTGCATTGGTTTGACCTGGCCTGACACAATAACCTACTTTTTCTGTGAGGGGATATTAGGGTACAGGTCCACGAGGTGTTTAATGTGATCAAATGACAGGCAAGACAATTGAGATCAGTTTTCAAGACTGAAGGAAGAAGAAATGAAGGAGCTTGCTCATTGCATTTTAAAAATCAATGGCTCCTGGTCTCTCATGTGAAGGCTCCGCTGAGACCCAAGGGAACAACTGCCTGACCTTATGGAAGGGCCAAGTCTGAGCTGGCTGTCCTTCTTGCCAAGGGGCGGGCTCTAGCTGGGACCCCTCTGGAGTTTCATATAGGCAGTTCTGCATGAGCCCAAGACTGATAATTCTCTGTCCATTGAATCCTTTATCTACCAACAGGCTTCTCTTCCCCTTTCAAACCCCTTTCTTACCCAATGGCCTGGAACAAGCTGCTCCTGCAGCCTGCCTTTGGCCTCCCTGATCCCTGCTTTTCCTTGGCCGTGCAAATATCTCCTCTTTGGGGCAAGTCCCCTGCTGTTTTATACTGTCTGTCTGCTCACACAAAACCACAGGTGTCTCAGGCAGACACGTAGGTGGCCTGTGTCATGTTCATCCTGAGCACGTGACACGCCAAGCCCTGTTAGTGACATGCTGTCTTCCCTTCATGAGGACAGATATGAGAAGCTTATTAGCTACACAGTACGTGAGACGGTCAGACTAAATAACGGACTCGGTGTCCAATGCAACACTGTCAGAGCCCAGGGACCACCTGAAGCTTGCCTTCGATACTTTCCTCCTTTACTGTGAAGGCTTCAGTTTGATTCACAGCTCCAGGGACATCCATCACGGCGGGACATGCCCAGCAGCAGTAGCCTGATGTGGCCAGTCACATTGTGTCCACTGTCAGGACGCAGAGGGACGTAGGTGCAGACAGAGGCAAACAGGCACTTTATTGGGAACAGGGCTAGAGCTCATTCGTGGGATATTCTGGCTGAGAATTGGGCTGTATTTTGCCCATGTCCTGAGAATGCGACTTAAATTCAAGACCAATTTGTGTGACTCTCACATTCAGTGTGGATGTTGCTTCCTTAACAAGTCCAAAACTTCCCTGCCTGTCTCCATGTTCTCTGTTGCTTGAATCCATGCCTATTGAGTAGTACCTGCCTCTTACCTACTATTGCTAGGGAAACTTCCTTGTGAAATCTGAATGGTGGATAAACACGGAACAACACTGCTGCTGACAATATCCCCAGTATCGTATGGAATATACTTATGCTAACAGCCAAAATGGGCTTTGCATCTGCTCAATATGATAAACCTGCCCTCACCATAGACCTCTTTGCCCCTTGTCTTGTGCCGTGGAATAGGAATCCATCCTCCTAGACAACCTAGGCTGAGATGTCTAAAGTGACAATCTGAGACATTGTCATGTCTGACTTTGAACTCTCCATTGTCCCCAGGAGTCCTAGATTCAAATCTCCACTACAAGACAGTCAGGGCCTTGCCTCTTCCTCTTCTCCCAGGTTTTTCCATGCTTCGTCCTTGCCCTTGGCTTCAGCCTGTTCTCTCTGTCAAGATCCTGACCTCTCTCACGTCTCAGTGGTGACACCTCAGTAGGAGGTTTCTTGGACTCTCCTTCCAGGTCTAAAGCCATTTGTTCCTCCTGAGAGCTTTTGCCTACAATAACTTGTCTAATGACCTCGCCAACACAGCCTGCCAGTGCCACAAGGACAGGGACCACAAGCTACTTGCACTTGACGCACAACCTGTCATCCAGGAGGTGCCCGGTAAATGTTGCTGCTGGAAAAGGCATGCTGGGGAGCTAAGTGTAAGAATCAGCTTCTGACAGGTCTGGGAGAGCTCGGCTTTTGTGCCTGCACACAGGGACGCAGAAGGCCGGATCCAAGCCTGCCTCTCTGGCAGATGCTTTAGACGAGTGCCCACAAGGTTGACGGCTTCTGGCATCTCTTAAGGAGAGAGGCCAGCACCACAGTGACCTGAGGAGACACACTCCTGTCACACCTAATAAATCTGCCAACCCGTCGTCCTCTTCCCTTACAAGAAAAAAAAATCGACTGAAGTGAACTTAGAAGAAACCCAAATCACAAAACCTCCATTCCAGACACATTAAAACGGGTGGTAGTTAAGGAACGTCCCTACCAACCTTTGGCAATTAAAATGCCATTGGACTTCAGGAACTCAGTGTCTTATCTTGCCATAGCCAGAAGTTGCTGCCAATTTCAAGAGAGGAACCTGCCGCATGAGGGACCTAGGTTTCTTGCCTCATCAACTGGTCCATTAATCACAAGACACTTATACGGAGCCTATCTTTTAACCCTCTAAAGGATTCTTAGGAAGGATGCTCATGGAAGCAGTGATGGTTCCGAGCTCTTTCTCTATGTTGGGGAAACTCCTATGATCTGACAGAGGAACACAGCCTTAAGAGCTCACAAGCTTCTTCCTCCCTCCTGTGTTCCTTCCAGAATCCAGCTCTCCTGCTTAAAAACAAGACCCACTCATTCCCAAGCCCCCTTCCTTTCCTCTGCTCCCTCTGTCCCTATCATTTGCAGATTAATTTTCCAGAGCTTCAAGCCAAGATCTTGCCCGTTCTATTTAACTGGAGGATTCTTTTCTAATTGATTTTCATGAGAATTGATTTGTATTGAGTTTGAGAATCTGAAACACACTCGCGCAATTGCTCCTGTAAAAAGCTGCCTGGCTGTGGGACACTCGGAGCTGGGGTTTTTGTTTTGTTTTGCTTTGCTTTATTCATCCTTTGGAGGGTAGGCAGGTGGCAGTGACTCTTCACTTTAGATCCCTCTAAAGTGTGGGGCAGCCAGCACTCTAGTCCCAAGGCAATGTTATCAGTGCTCTCTTGGTCCTCATGGAAAGATCTTTGGGGAGGCAGAGAACGAAGCATGTGCACGCACAGACAGGTGAACTCCGAGATGGAGCCCAGCTAGAAGCTGAACCGAGATTCCTCGTTTCAATGGCCCAAGTATTGAGAAGTGTCAAGGACACAGAGCAATTTTAAACAAAGCAATCATAAGCCAGGGGCAGGCCAGAGCAGAGGAAGTCGAAACACTGGACTGTGCTGGGGATGGGGTGTCTCTAGAGGGTGATGGAGATGCAGGGGTCTGCCCAGGGATGGCAGGGCAGATAGCACCTTACATCCCAGTAACAGCAGGGACAGCCTCTAACCACGTTGCCTGGGATCCAGGTGAAGTACCAAGTCAACAAGTACTGACTCCATAGCAGGAAGAAAGGAGAAAGTCGGGTTCAGAGAGCTGCAGGATGTTGTCAAGGTGCTTAGCTGGTAAAGGACAGAACTGGGTATGGGAATTCTGGGCAGGACCAGAGAATGTCCCATCCAACCTCTCTCTGCAGCTGGTAGGTGCTTGCTTAGTCCCTGCTCTGCAAACTGGGGGACCAAAGTTTTTCTCCTCTGGCGGTCTCGACAGGTGCTCTGCATGAATGGTGGGTCACGTGGCAATAATCCCTCCACCTCCCCAGCCATTATTTACAAGAAACACAGTCCCCACCCCAGGTTGGAGACCGTAGGAAAGCTAATTCAAAGTTTGGGGGTGGAATCTGGTAGGAAAAACAAAGAACCATAATGGGATTCTTTTTCTTTTTAAGTTCGTTTCTTTTCCCAAATGCTGCAGTAGAGATTACAATGAGGTCTCAGTACCTTTCTGTGCCAAGTTCGGTCCTGCCGGTCTTAGGCCACAACTGAGGCTCCTTATGAAGCTTATCTTTTGGGGGGTTAGAGCACGCTTTTCTTTCTTCCCAACTGTATCCAGGATCAATCAGTGAGTGACTAGAGAAAACGCTCCGAATTGACCCCACCCCCTTCTCAGGAGGCCTCTATGGTCTCTCACCTGAACGAAGCCCCAGAGAGGGTGAAGCGCACAGTGCAGCAGTAGTGAGGGCCAGCAGCAGCCACTGCGCAGCACCAGGTCCCGGAGTAGCATCTCGATCCGCGGCGCCCACTGGTGGGCTGAACTGTCAAGGGAGCAAGGCTTGAAACAGATGGACACTGTGCAGGCACAGTAGCATCAATTCACGTCCCAACGCGGCGAGAACTCACTTGTCCCGCACTTTGGGGCACCTGCGCGAAGCAAGCCTTCATTTTTGTTCCATTGTGTACACTTTCTGACTCTCAGTGCATCCCTGAACTCACACCAAACCCTGGCGCACACCCCCTCCCCCTCAGAATATTGCGTGCACACCTTGATCCCATACACGCCTCCAGAAAGACTCAAACACACTAACTGAACCTCATTCCGCCTCAGAAACTGCCTTGCACAACTCTCACGAAGAGTAAGCTTCAAACCCGGCAAAAACCACTCTGCGCGCGCACGCACTGTGACCCCCGTGCACTGCCACCGACTCCCGCCCGCACACTCTTTGACTCTGCATGCACAGTACCACCAAATCACTCGCTGCCTGCAATCTCTCTGCCCCAAGGACTTCACTGCGCACACTGGTACTTAGGGCACCTCGGTGCGTGCCCCCATTGGCCGCCCAAGCCCCAGCTCCTGCTCCCGGGCAGGCGTAGGTTTTCCCGAACGCCCCCATGCCCGCCCGCACCCCTCCGATGCCTCATGCCACCTAGTCTGGCGGCGAGCCCCACCGATCCGAGACACGGGGAAGGGAGGTCAGGTTTCCCCCCACAGCAGCTCTGTTTCTCAACCGCAGGACGGCCCCCATTTAAAGCCAGCCGCCTCCCCAGTCCCCCGCCCTCTAGGCGGGGCCTCCAAGCTCACCCTGGCGGCTGCGCGGGCGCTCGGGGGCTTCACACGCAGCGGAAGAGCGCGGGGTGCTGGAGCAAAAGTTTGCGCGCCGCTTGGGCCTTTAGGGCAGCTGATCTGGGGACCCGGCGCGGCGCGCTTGCACTGAGCTCCGGGCTGCGCTTGGCCGAGCGCGGGCCGGGAAAGGCGGCCAGCCCCAAGCCCAGGGCCCAGGTTGGACTGCCCAGGCAGAGGGCGGGGAAAGTGTCCTCGGATCCTTGGGGAGCTGGCCGCGCGAGCCCTCCTCCAACCCTGCCGCGGGTCCCTGCGCCGCCCGGGTCCCCGCCCTTCCCGGTGGCGCCGCGCGGCTGTCCGGGGCGCGTGGTGCCGGGGGCCCTCGGGAGGTAGCAGGCGAGAGACGCCGGCCCGGAGCGCCCGCTCCGGCAGCAGGGCCGCGGGCGGAGGCGAAATAAATAATGCACGAAAAAGGAAAACAGACGTGAGCGGAGCCAGAGCCTCGCCCGCCTCCCTCCCGGGCTGCGCTCCCGCCCGCGCTCCCTGCTGCCGCGGCCGCCAGCGCCGCTGCAGTGATTCCTCGTCTCCATCTAGCGAGGCTATTGTGTATTGGGCGCTTAATAATTTATTTATTCACCCCAGAGGCCAAGGACTCCCAGTGACAGTGGCATCCTGCTCCTGGTTTGCCCTTCCCTCAAGTTCATCCCCAGGCTGCTGGAAGGTGGTAGTGAGATGTGACTAGTGGGATCCCAGTCTGAGCGCCATCCTCCCGGACGTCCCCTTTCCCTGCAGGCTCTGCGGGTGCCGGACTGGGAGGGTACAGGCTAGCTCTCCAGTGAAATGTAACTGACCTCCCTCCCCTCGACTGTCAAGACCTCAGGACTCTCCTCCTTTACAACACTGAGTCTTGGAGAGAAAGGGGAGTCGCGGCGTCCCAGGGAGAGCCTTCCCCCCCGGGGGGGGGGCTTTTCCTCGGCCACCCGCAAACTCCTGTTTAAAGGCAAGATTATCAACAAGTCGGTTCTTCAGGAAGAAGCTGGTTGCATCTTGTTCAAATGAGCTCGCTGCTTCTACCTCCCAGGAATCTTCGCGGGCGCCATGGAGGCGCCCTGCTCATCTGTCCATAGCGCTTTATAAGCGCTCTGATTGATGGTTTCTGGAGGTGGGGGTGTGACAATCCCAGGCGAAGTCCCCAAGAGTTGGGCAATCCTGTTTTGGGCTTGGGTAAGAGAACCAGTGGCTTAAAGTGGTGGGTAGATACCACAGCTCACCTCAAAATGACTTTGTTCTTGTCTGTTCCCAAGGGCACCTTCCAGTCACTCCACGTAAACCCACACCTAAGTATAAACCGCTCCTCAAACCAGGTTTTAGACCAATTTTCCAGTAGCTTCCTTCATCAGAGCACATAGCAAGGCCTTCCCTTCTTACTGCATGCCTGGCTGATGTACATGTGTGCCCCGCTGATACCCAGTTCTATACAGCAGATGTGAGGGAAGGCTTGCCCCTTCCAAGAACGGGGAGCAGGGTGTGGGGGTGGCAGGTAAGGGAAACCATAACAGCATTCCACTGTTACTGAGACAGGGGCCTGCACTTATGAAGAGAGTCGAGGAATAGAAGCTAGGGAAAGACTGCCAGGATAAAGGGACCTAGGGAACGTGTCAATAATTTTGTTAATCCCTTCGGCAAAAACCATGGAGACATGTGTCCCTTCATTAATTCAGTCATTCATTCCTTGCAGTATCCATAGGCACCTAGTACAACAGTAACAAATGTCTGTAACCAGTCACATGCTATTAGGTCAGGGAGATGTGATGGGAGGAACCACTGATGAGAAAGGAGCTTCCCCAAACAGTGTGGAAAAAGGGAATGGAGCCTAGACCTGAGGCCTGTCCGTCAACAGAAATAAAATGATGTGGGATGCTTTCATGTCTTTGAAAACGTAGCTTAAGCCAGTATAGGACTCCAGTCTTTAACTGAGCCCTTGGCTACTTGAAAAATATTACTCATGCCACATTTTTTTTTTTTTTTTTTTTTTTTTTTTAGTTTTTCGAGACAGGGTTTCTCTGTAGCTTTGGAGCCTGTCCTGGAACTAGCTCTTGTAGACCAGGCTGGCCTTGAACTCACAGAGATCTGCCTGCCTCTGCCTCCCTAGTGCTGGGATTAAAGGCATGCACCACCGCCCGGCCTCATGCCACATTTTAAGCTCAGTTCTCATCGTCCTAGGAGGCTAAGTTATTGTTCTGAGTAAAAAGTCCTGTGTAGTTGGTTCTTTGTTCTTTGTTTTTGTTTTTTCTTTGGGGGCCCGCCACCCAGCTTCCAAATAAATACACAGAAACGTATTCTTACTTATGAATGCCCAGCCTTAGCTTGGCTTGTTTCTAGCCAACTTTTTTAACTTAAGCTATGCCATTTCTCTTTAACTATGTTTTGCCTCTGGGCTTTTTCCCTTTCTTTATTTGATATATTGTTCTTTCCTGCTTACTCTATGGCTGGCTATGTGGCTGTGAAACTGGCCCCTGGTGTCTTCCTCTCCTTCTTTTCTTGTTCCTTGCTCCTTGCTTTTCTGTTCCCAATATTTCTCCTCCTGTTTATTCTCTCTGCCTGTCGGCCCAGCCTATCCTTTCTTCTCCCAAGCTATTTGCTGTTCAGCTCTTCATTAGGCCAATCAGGTGTTTCAGGCAGGCACAGTAACACAGCTTCACAGAGTTAAACAAATGCAACATAAACGAATGCAACACATCTTTGCATCATTAAACAAAACTCCACAGTATAACGAATGTAATCTTAAACTAATATCCCACAACAGTCCAGAGATGTTTCCTAGGCAGAAGCACACAACTCTTGCCCTAAGAGTCACAGATACTAACTTTTGATTACAGGGTTAAGGCATTTTTGACTGGGGTGTAGCTCAGTTGTTGGAGTGCTTACTGTACACAAAGCCCTGGATCCTAGGTACAGCATAAACAGGCATGGTAGTGCACTCAGGAGGTAGAAGCAGAGCCAGGAAGATGAGAATTTCAAGGTCATCCTTAGCTACATAGCAAGTTGAAGACAAGCCTGGGTGGGTTTGTATGTTGGTGTTCAGTTTTTCAAATCCGGATTTAACCGATGTACCTCTGGAGAATCACCTGGTCCCCAAAATCTTAGCCCATCTAACAGAGGGGAATGTTACAATCCCGCTTAGAATAAAGACTTCCTCCTCTATAATAGGTTTTATATGACTGTGAAGGACCTAGGGAGGTCCTAGCTTCCATCAGCCTTTCCGGACTCCTGTGCCTTCTGGTATCTAATTCCAAGAGTAACCATGCAACTTTGCCAGGAGACAGTCCATCCCACCTTGGAAACACATGGGCCAGTGAAAGATGAAAGATTAAGGATGAAGGGAGACCTTGCTGTGGAGTCTAGTGGTTCCATTTGTCCTATAAGGAGCTGACCAATAGGTGTGACAGAGTACCTAGTGCCATCTTCTGAAGCTGTGGCCGGTTCAATAATAGCCAGTCTTGTGCTTGCTTCCCTCTTTCCCCTTTCACCTTATTCTTATTGCTCCTGGGTTTTGGCCCTCACTGAAGTGTCTCTGTCAGGGTTCTCCAAAGGAACGGAACAAACAGAATGGACCAATAAGAGCTGATTTATGAGATGAGTGTACACAACCAGAGGCTGCGTAGTCCCACCGTGTCTATCTGCAGGCTTAAGAAACAGAAAATAAATTACGAAGTGCAAGAAACTGGGAACCTCAGAACAAGTGAGGACAGCAGCAGCCCCAGCTGAAGGCGGCAGGCTTGGAAGCTTGGAGCATCACTTAGGCAAATCCACAGCCCAAGAGTAAAGAATCCAGGATGTGATGTGTGCAGGTGATGGTAACAGCCCCCTAAAATAACACTCAAGAGGAGAGACCTGTGCCCTCTCGTCTGAGCAACCCCCTTGGCCTTTTCTCTGGAACCAGTTCACAGCCCATCTGATGGTGCGTCTCACATTCGGGTCTGTCTTCCCGGCTCAGTTCTCTGATATGTCAATGTCTGAAGGAATTCTCACAAAACCTCCAGGGTGTGCTTTACCCATCTCCTATGCATCTCCATCTGGTCTACCTCATAGACCCACCAGACTTGACTTCACTTACTGAAACAAATTGATGGGACAGCCAAGTCCGACATAACATCTAGAAAGTCTAGGTGCTCTACTGGACCCCGCCCTGCCTGCCACATTCTTCCTTTTGTCCCCGGATCATTGGGCTACCAGCCGTCCCTGGACCGGTGAGTGTGTGCGATCCAGGGGCGGATTGTCCCGGAAGAGAGCACAAACCCCCCTCCCCCAGCTCCTTCTGCAGGGCTGTCTTTCTTACACACGACCCCCCCCCCCCAAGCCTGCGTGATCTGCAAGGTCCTTTGCTCAGGAACAGTTTTCTGCTCCTACACTAAGGAGACCCACCCAGAGAGGTGAGTGCCTGCCTACAGGGCAGGCCTCAAGGACCCCCAAAGGGAGCACGGGCACCTTCAGCTTGCCCTGCAGCACTCGACCCCGCCCTGCCCTCCAAGTTCACCCGTTTGTCCACGGGTCATTGGATTACCAGGTGTCCATGTTTCGGTGCTGAGGAGTTTCATCTGGACAGGAACGGTTCCTGCTTCTACACTGAGGAGATACACCCAGAGAGTCAGTCACAGCAAAGTCTGGACCAAGACACCAGGCCTCTCCTGGCTCCATTTGAAGGAAGAGATGGGAAGGCGCCAATGCAAGAATTCCTCCAACAAATTGAAAGGCAACATGACATCACCAGAATCCAGGGATCCCGAAACAAGAAGAATTGTACACCCTACTCCAGAAGAATTAGAAGAAATCGACTCAAAAGTGAATGATATGAAATTAATAGAGGACCTTAAACAGGAGGTGAAAAACTGCCATAAACAATTAGAGATTACAAACAAAAAGGTAGAGGAAATGAATGAATCGCTCAAAGATACCCAAGAAAACCAAGAGAAACAAGAAAAAGCAATCAAACAGGTAAGGGATGTGGTTCAAGACTTGAAGAATGAAACGGAAGTAATGAAGAAAACACAAACCGAGGGAAGGATGGAGATGGAAAATCTGGGTAAACGAACAGGAACTGCAGAGACAAGTACTACTAACAGATTACAAGAGATGGAAGAAAGAATGTCAGACACTGAAGATACCATAGAGAAAATAAACACACTGATCAAAGAAAACAGCAAAACCAACAAATTCTCATCACAAAACATTCAGGAAATCTGGGACACAATAAAAAGACCAAACCTAAGAATAATTAGGATAGAAGAAGGAGAAGTACAGCTCAACGGTCCAGAAAATATATTTAATAAAATTATAGAGGAAAACTTTCCCAACCTAAAGAAAGATATTCCTTTGAAGGTTCAAGAAGCATACAGAACACTGAATAGACTGGACCGAAAAAAAAAATCTCCTCGCCATATAATAATCAAAACACAAAACATACAGAATAAAGAAAGAATACTAAGAGCTGCAAAGGAAA